CCGCGCTGCACAAGTGGAATGTCGAGCTATGTTTGCCTTCACAAAATTACTGCATACTACATCGTGATCATGCATCATTTCGTGCTTACCTGCATGCCCACAAATGGACAGATGCAATTCTAGAACACACGAGTCGGAGATTAGCACTTGCACCGCTACGATATGCCACATCGCACTTGACCACCTCTCCCATGTTCGTGCCCCGTCTTGCACACAGGCAGCTCACGAACCCTCAGGCTTTCCACCATACTCTCTCCACGATCCTGAAAACGGGATACAGCACGCACACAAGTGCAAAACCCATCACGATCCCAATGTCGCCCAAGCCCGTGCGTGCAATGGGGCCGACATACCACGCCTGATCCATGCACGGGATCACCAGCGCGAACGCACACAGGAACGCGAGCAGCGCAGCCACACCGAGCGGGAGGCGCCGCGGCCGGTCCCATGCCGCGGCGTCGTACTGCGCGAAGGAGCACCTGCGGAAGAGGACGTGCTCCACGAGCACGACCGCGGCGAACACGGTACTCCAGTACCCGATGAGGTCTATGGAGAAGATCGATCAGCCAGCGGGGACGACGGGGCAAGCGCAGGACACACTGAGGACGTCGGTCATGGTCGAGTAGAAGTGCGCCGCGCCCACGATCGCGACCGGGATCAGTCTGTGCGTGCCCGCTCTCAGTTGGCGACGCTGCATGCAGCGAGGGAGACACCGACATTGCCGTGGAAATGAGTGCGTAGACGTACCGCGGCACGCGCGCGAAGTACGGGCTGACGGCCATCGCGCTCGACGCGAACGTGTACATCGTCGGCGCGCACGCGCTCGGGATCGTCAGCGCGACGAGCACCGTGAGGAACTTGCCGAACCGGCCTGCTGGGGCGAGCACGGCTGCGAGGAGCCCGCCGACGTTGCTGCCGCCGGCGAAGCCCGCCTCCCACGGCGCGTAGAGCGGGGCGGACGCGGCGAACGCGGCCCCGAGCATGTGCGCGGTGATCTGGGCGCACAGATAAGACGGGGGTTCAAGTTGCAAGGCGTCACGGATGGACGTACGCTCGAGAGGAAGAATCCCGCATAGGAGTAGAGAAATATCTTCGTGCTGCCAAAGGCTAAGTTTGCGGACAGACGCATCGAATTGGGCGGTTACCTGGATGCCTCCGCGGAATGGTAGACGCCGTAGTCGGGCGTCATGGTGCACCAACTAACCACGCTCGACGCAATCGTCGTCGCGAAAGTTACCACCGTGGCCGGGGATACTGGCTCAGGCGCCGGGGCTGTAGTCAGATGCTTCCCACCCACGCCCAACATTACGATAAATGTGACGACACTCGGGATCCACGCCAGGCTCTCATACCTGTGCGCGCGAGTCATTTCAAGATTGCGCTTGAAGACAGACGGTGCACACTAACCAGTGAATGACCCTATACCCGAAGAACGTGACCTGGCACATCGCAGAAATTAATTATGTGAGCGCATTCTGGACAGGATTACAGAGACGTACGGCGAGTGAAATGACACTGATGATGACTATGCCGAGCGTGTCGCTCAGGTGGTCAGAGACACTCGCAAGCGTCTGTCCGCCGATGATGCAGCTTATGACGAGGAACCCTTGCATCGAAATAACATTGAGGGCGCTCGGTACCGCCGAAAGGTAGTAACTTGTGTATATGGTTAGCAGAATTCTTGGAGGAGACAAGAGTGATCATGTACCCCCACGAATAGCGCGCTTGCACCATCGAGCGCATCCCGAGCTTGGGCCCGAATACCGCACTGTAGGCAAGGTCCAAGTACAGCTGCGCACAACGATCTCAGCACACTCACAAGTATGCAGGTACCGCGCATGTACTGGACATGCTCCAGGAATCAGGACTCGCGGTGCTCAGACGACCATGCGACGCACATCAGGTCCACAATTAGCAGCACGGCGAGCGACGTGCGCAGCCCGATGCCGAAGAACGCAGACCCCGCTGTGGCTGTCCCGAATCTACGTGCACCCGTACATTCAGCAGGTTAGTCGCGGTCTAGAAATCGGCGAGTTCACCCGAGGATGTTGAAGTTGACAGAGAACCACACGAAGAACATCTGATAGAGACGCGGGTCCGATCGAAGCATTGGTGGAATGGGATCGATTCTTCGGTTTTGGCAGGTGTCAGGGACGAGGCTCGTGCGCCTTGTCAGTTAAGTGAGTTCACGCACCCGTTAGTCTCAATGCCCCAGCACGAGAGAAAGTGCGTAAGTTGCTTCAGTAGGGACGATAGTGAGGAGTCCAGGACGGGCGTAGAATTGCTGACTTCCTGGCTCACGACGTCCACGTCGATATCGGGAGCTTTCTCAGCATCTAGTATACTCGAAGCCATCATGGCGGCAGAGTGGAATAGGGCAGGATGAAAGTGAAAGTCAGCCTAGCGTACTTCAGCTAAGGCAGGTGCCCTGAGTTGACACCGATACCGGGATACACCCTACGGAAGAGAACCTTTAGGGTGTCCGGGTCGGAACTTCCTCAGAGTTCGGAGTTCATCTGAGACGTACCTCCGCCGACACACATTGAGTCTCTGCATATATAACGGGACATTGCCTGCGTGTATCACGTCCATGAACTTCTAGAATGGGACGCGGAATAGCGCATGTGCTCACCTAAAGCTTCTGCCGCGTGACATTGACAGTTTGTCTCAGTGCGAACGTAGAATAGAAGAGAACAGAAAAGTCACTATGATGGCAAGCGAAGCTGATGCGATTACGCAGCTCGGCAGCGATTGCATGTAGCGCCTGATATTTGAATATTGAATGCTCGCGGAGACAAAGATATGCTGTATGCAGATAACAGCAGTGTACGTGTGCAGTCTACACTTCAATGATAAGTGGAAGTTGTTGCACCAAGCGCGATAGACTAGTAGAATGTCGAGGAAAAGAGTAAGTGACATGATACCTGAAATGGCACAAGTATGGCCGTCAGCGCTGAATGTACGGGAAACGAACGTAATAACTTGCAATTGCGAGTGATCTATACACTTGCGAGGTTTGTTAGGAGGCGCTTATGTCGACGTGAGTGTTGTATGGTGTTCTTGAGCACTCCGCCGCTCAGATTCTTCAACGAGCTGAAAACAAGTAGTTCACGAAATATGCAGAAGTACAGATTTCGTGTCCCATACCTTCACAAATCGGTCCTGGTCCCAATGTCTCTGTACCTTGTCGATTTCGCTTTCTGGGAGCCACCACTCGAGAAACATGAAGAACAGGCAGCCGACAACAAGAATGATGGCGAAAATGGGTCCCACAAAGCGGCCGAGGTCCAGGGTTCTGCAAAGGTCATTAGTAACAATCACGACAAACCAATATAACAAAGTGGCTGGACCTACCGGTTCATACGGGTCCAGAAATCCGGCGGCCGCGAGTGGAGCACGGCCTCATATACCTTCTCAGTGCGTTCTGCGATCTCGCTCCAATCATAGAACCCCTTGACGCGCTGGTGTGCGCGAAGTGGATCATGCTTGCCAGCAGAGACGATTTGGATCGCTTCGGACATCGCACGGACGACATCTGCAGGTAAAAGACTGCTATTGAAATCCAGATTGAAGGATCACAGCAGCAGACCTTACCATCCTCATCCGGATTGGCAAAAGAAATCATATCCTCGGGCAGGATTTCCGGGACTCCACCGACGCGAGTCGAGACCACATAAAGCCCAGCGCATGCGGCTTCTAAAATTGCTATTCCGAATGACTCGGTGAGGGATGTGTTCATAAATATCGTCCCTCGGACAAGGACCTAATGAATAATGAGCAATGTGGACTAGCGGTACTCGACAGCTTGGAAAACGTACATCACGAACGTCGCTGTGCCGCACAGGCCCCAGCATCTCGATACGGTCCTGCAGCATATGTTTTTCTCTCATTTGTAGTAAATCAATGAGCTTCGGACCATCCCCTCCTGAAAGACCATAAGAGGCCGCCGGCTACACGAGACGTACTCTCAGACAAACCTATGACAAATCTCACATTTGGGAAAAGTGCGCAAATCCGAGGCGCAGTTGCGACGAGGAGATCTATACCTTTTCGGTAAGCAAGTCGCGATATCACAACAATGGTGACTAGGTGGTGTGACGGGCATGAGTAATTGTAGTTATGCTCAAGAGGTCACTTGCCGGTCGCTGTTGGTCCTGTTATAGGACCAGGTTTGAACTGGTCAGCAACTAGTGCATTGGGGATTACATATGCAGAGTGAGGAAGCAGCCTTGCTCGTAGAACCGTGTTTTCTCGCCTGAAATGAAGGACCTATTCAGGAGAATCACGAGAAAGGATGAAGAAATATCTTGCCCTGTATGCGAGACGCAGATCGTCGCATCGACATTGCGCAGAGCAGCTTCCAGGAGCTTGTTTGTGAGGATACTCGCGGCATCGTCGAACCCAAATAGACTATGGTCCGTGAAGACAGTCCGGACGCCCATCAAGTGCGCATGAAGAATGCCTTCGTGCGCTAGTGCGGACAAGCTTGCATGAGCATGTATCAATTGGATACCCTCTCTGAGCACAATTGTCCGCAAATACGGCAAGAACGCGAGAAAATCTGGCAACGTTGCGGAAGAGGCGATGGTGACCAATGGCACGTAGTAGACCTTCAACGATGGCAAGAGCCAACGGATCCCAACACGATCAGGCGGGTGGCTATGCGTTATAACGATCACCTGTGATGCATGTCGACGACTCAGAATTTCAGTGAAGAGGAACATACCTTATGTCCGCGGCGTATGAGATTGGCACTGAGCATATATATGTGATTCTCTACTCCACCAACATTTGGATGGAAGAAGTCACATATCATCCTGGACATACTGCAATCAGTGGCAAGTATATGTTTCTGACAGAATGCCTACGCGATCATAGTCATTCTTACAAAACCAGATTTTCTGAAAGTGGTTTCGGATCCCGAGAAACAACGACGACAGATCTAGATGGTCATCGGATTGCAGCAGTGGATCTATTGTTGCCCTGGACCATTTGTGTATGGTTCGATGGTGTAGTTGGTTATCACGTCTGTCTCACAAACCTTGTGGGTCAAGGTTGTGTACACAGGAGGTCTCCGGTTCGAGCCCGGGTCGAACCAATTTTTTAAATCTTCGACACAAGTCTTTACTTTCGTCCTTCAATATCCAAGAATTCTAGCCTCCACGGCTTCGTCGACCTATTCCATAGTTTGCATATTAACAGCGGTGCAGACTGTACTTGCACATAGAAGATGTATTTGCGCCGAGAATCCTGGACCGGAGCGGTACATAACGATTACGTTGCGGGTTTGTCCGATGCGGCCCCTCCGCCCATATAGCTAAGCGTACAGCGAGCGTTTATTTACTTGCAACACTTCATCCTGCAGAGTCGGTGACCTGGGGTCTCTTAGACTGTTCGACTGCACCTTTCATCGTTCTTTCTTTCCTACCACTTTCGTTCCCGCCCTCACACGGAACAGCCATGCCACCAGTGGAGGATGACAGTGTTCAGGTTGACGACGACAGTGCGGCACAGGCCATATCGGTTCCTGATGCTGCGGACGCTGGGGAGAGTGGTAAGCTGAAGATGATCGTGCAGCTGCTCAAGAGGTGTCTTGGGGTGAAAGACATTGCTGCGATGTATGTTCAGAGGGCCTCGGGCTCCGTGTATCGTACTGATACGCCCTGCGTAGGCGCTTGTCGCTACCTGCTTCCCTGCTGGAGCCCATTCCGAATCTAGAGTACTGGCACTACTTGGATAGACCGGACCTATTCGCTGCGTTGAGTGGTCTTTGTCTCTGCGGTGCGATATGTTCTGATCGATGCGTCACAATACAGTATCAACGACTCGGAGGATCCGTTTGAGCGCATGCTCGCGGTCCTCAGGTTCACGTTCTCCAAGGACCTCAAGTTTATTGTAGGTCCGAGCCGCCTCTGCGCACGCGTGTATTAACCAGTGCCTTCAGCGCGGCAAGGTTTGCAAACCGTACAATTCTGTCCTTGGCGAGCATTTCCGTTCCCACTGGGACGTCATTCCTGTTGTGTATCCGTCGGACCCCTGCGATCCTCCAATCCAGCACTTGTACCTCGCCCCACCCGCCGCCGAGTCCAACTACTCCACCTTGACTCCTACTCCCAGCGAGTCTCCGCGCCCGCCGGCGTCCGAAACGGCGAGCATCATGAGCGGATGGAGCGGCAAGAGCGTGACAAGCGGCCTCAGCCTGACGTCCAAGGGCGCCTCGACGCCTGGGAAGAGCACGCCCGCGACGTCGCCCGACCTCTCACAGACGACGCTCGACGGGGACATGTCGAACCTCAACCTGGCGGACGACGCCGCCGCGCTCCTCGAGGCAGGCACGGCGCCCGCTGCGCCAGACACGCCGCGCGTGCGCATCGCGTACCTCACCGAGCAGGTCTCGCACCACCCGCCCATCTCCGCGTACTACGCCAAGTGCCCGAGCCGCGGCGTCGAGCTGACGGGCGTCGACCAGATCTCCGCGAAGGTGTCCGGCACGACGCTGCGCATCGTCCCGGGCTCGTACAACAAGGGCCTGTTCGTGCGCCTCACGGACGGCGCGGGCGCAGGCGAGACGTACCAGATCACGCACCCCGTCGGCGCCGTGAACGGCATGTTCCGCGGGAGCTTCTACATCACCATGGGCGAGGCGACGATCGTGACGTGCAGCGGCGGCGCGGACGGCGCGAAGCTGCGCGCGATCATCGAGTACAAGGAGGAGTCGTGGCTCGGCAAGGCGCACTTCCTGCTCGAGGGCGTCATCCACTCGTACGAGCCCGACGAGACGCAGCACCTCGAGTGGACGCGTGTCAAGCACGTCCCGCGCTCGCGCGTCCTTGCGACGCTCGACGGCTCGTGGAAGCACCGTATCCGCTGGAAGCGCCAGGACGCGCCGAGCAGCGCGCACGCGACGCTCCTGGACCTGTCTACGCTGCACGTCATCCCGAAGGCGGTGCGCTCGCTGGAGAAGCAGCTGCCGGACGAAAGCAGGAAGTTGTGGGAGAATGTGACGAGCAAGCTGCTGTCAAAGGAGTATGGCGAGGCGACGAAGCACAAGCTCACGATAGAGCAGAGACAGAGAGACGAGGCGGCAGAGCGGAAGCGCAAGGGCGTGCAGTGAGTGCTGCTGTGATCTTATCTGCTCCTGCGTATCCGTGATTGACCGTATTGTGACGTAGGTTCACGCCTAAATATTTCGAGAGTGACATCGACTCCGGGATCCCGACGCTCACGGCCGAAGGGCTCCTTGCCCTGGAGGAGGAGTTGAAGGAGGAAGAATTAGAGTGCCCATGAAGGCATGGCAAGTTGCAGTCCAGACCATCACAATCAATTGATATACCACCTCACCGCCTCACGATCATCTAATGACATTTCTGAAGTATAATTCTGTCGTTTGCTCAGGCCCCCGCCGTCTCCCCTGTGTAGTCGTACATCACTTCTGTCCCGGACTTGTCGATTGCTTTGATTAGACTATCTGATGAGGGAGGTGCGAGTTACAAGTACACCTGGTGGTACAGCTGCTACACCGAAGGTCCATTATATATTCGTCGGTCAGTCGACGACGCAGACCACCTTTCCGGAGGCAGAGTTGGCCTCCATATATGCGTGCGCCGCACCCGTCTCCTCCATCTTGAATACTTTGTCCAGGCCGAGGTTGATCTCACCGTGTGCCACCGCGTCCACGATCCACTGCAGTGGCGCCTTCGAGATGTCGAGTGTATGCGAGCTCCATATCGTAAGATGCTAGCGGACAGCCAGCTGAGCGCGCACCCGCATAGCGAAGAAGACACGAGTCGGAGCAGACTAACCTTCCCGGGACCGAGCGTCGTCATTGGGTCAAAGTCCTTGACCGTCCATTCGCCCGACACACAGCCAATCATTGAGACGACGCCGTCCGGCGCGAGACTCATGCCTGAATCCGCGAGCGTCGTGCCGCCCACCAGTTCCACGCACTTGTCCGCGCCGCGCCCGCCCGTCGCGCGCTTGACCGCGTCGCTGACCGAGTTGGCCGCGTCAATCAGGACGAGGTCCGCGCCGGCGGCCTTGGCCGCACGCACCTTCGCGTCGCTGCGCGTGGTCGCGATCACGGTCGGCTGGCGGTCGGGGCTGAAGAGTGTCGACTTGGCGAGGGCGGCGCAGGCGAGCCCGACGCTCGTCGTGCCGCCGCGGATGAGCAGCGTGTCTTCCGGGCGGAGACGCAGCGACTCGGCGAGCGTGCCCCATGCTGTGCGCGGCGCGCGTCAGGTGGGCTGCGGTGCTGCGAAGGGCGGTGTGCGTACCGGTCAGGAAGGTCTCTGGGATGGCTGCGAATTGCGCCCACCCGATGCTCGCGGGGAGATTGATCGGGGGGGAGACTGAGGCGTGCGGTATGAGGGCGTACTCGGCGTAGCCGCCTGTGGTCCTCTCAGAGAGGCTCGGCACGCGTCTTGCACACGCACGCACGCACCGTCGAACTGGCGGCCCATCCCGCCCATGATGGCGGCGACGGTGTCACCCTCCTTCCAGCGAGTGTCGCCGGCGGCGTCCTTGACAAGACCGACACACTCGATGCCGAGGACACGGGGGAACTGGATTCCAGGCGAATGCCCTTGGCGCGTGAAGAGCTCTGAACGGTTCAAGCCATAGGCCTTGACGCGGATGAGGACATTGCCCGCCTTCGGCGCAGGTACCGGGTGGGTGGTCGTGTAGACAAGCTCAGACGGTGAAATTGGTGCTTTGGGGCAGACAATCGCTCGCATCGTTGTAGGAAGAGACATGGGGGATAATAACATGTAACAACTGTAGACTACTGCGCACAGGCAGACAAGTGATTACCCATCCATGACAGAAGTCACTGCAAGAATCCACTTGTGCCGGGGCGCGACGCTCTTTCCCGGCACATGACTCCTGTGCCATGATCCTGGAAATGTTTACTAGTAAACGATAATTTACAACCACGATGGCTCATAGACTAGACATCATCCTAAGACATGGCACCGTTCGTGTCCAACACGCTCATGTCCGCCTCAGAACTCCTCGTACATCCGCAAAGCAATATCTCTCGTCGCGAGAACCTCGACACCACCGAGCCTCATCTTCAGCAACTGCCACCAGGAGAGGACGTACCACGGAAAGTCCCTCACACAATGGTAGTCCTCCAACCAGCGCGTGTCCCACATCAGACCCTTCAAAGGCGCGCCCATCGCCCGGCGGGCGTCGGTTAAAGCCGCCAGCGCCGCAATCCAATCGACTCGCCTGACGGTGGTGCCAGCCCCCGGCAGCTCCTCCCCAAGATGCTTGGACAAGATCACGGTAAACGAGCCAAGTCGGGGCAGAACAAGGGCCGAGCGGCGGCCGCGGACACTAGTGCTCGCAGCTGTGAAATTTTGTATGAATTCGTAGGCGTCGGGGCCCTGGTAAGAGAGCGATTGTAGACTGGGGAAGCATCTTAGAAAGGCCCGTAGACGGCTGTCCAGCAGTTCCGGCAATTCTGAAGAGCTGTCGGTAGACAGCACGAGCTCGTCAAGCTCTGGAAACTTCCCGCAGCTGCTAGATGGGCCGGGGGCGAGCATACGCATGGTCTCGAGGAAGTGGTCGGTGATCCAGTCCTCCACGAAATGCAAGTTCTCCAAGTGGAATGTGTGGAGGGCGGGTGCGGACAGCTTCCGCAGTACCGTGACCATATAGAGGATACCCTTTACACGCAGGACGACCAGCCGGGGTAAATGAAGGGGGAACGACTGAAAGTGGGAATCAGGAGGGTGGACATGACCCAGAGTGAGTTGAGTAATAGTTGAAGCCGACGCGGCGATTATGTGGTGGAATGCTGGGGCCGGATAGGATACACCGTGAGTTACAACCAAAAACGATTCGAGGTCCTTCGTAGGCTCCGATGTTATCAATGGAATATCACAACCGCAAAGCCGCACGTCGCGCAGACGGAATGCGTCGCGAAGGGATAGCGTCTGAGGGAAAGATGGCCCAGGAGCATCGGGATCGTCAGGGGTAGCGGTAAAATATTCGGCATGCAGAACCTCGAGAGTAGGCGTGCGCAGAGACACAAGAGAATGCATGACCGTCGCGAGAACCGCACGATCCGTGGCGACAACATGGAACTCGCGCCAG